AAGAAGAAGAAGAAGAAGAAGAAGAAGAAGAAGAAGAAGAAGAAGAAGAAGAAGAAGAAGAAGAAGAAGAAGAAGAAGAAGAAGAAGAAGTGGAGGTGGAAGAAGAAGAGGAGGAGATTTTCAATGTGTGCAGGACCGTACGATGGCCGGGGCCCTGTCTGAGAATGCCCCAAGGCCTGTGAGCGTCGTTGGCGTCGACGGTAGTACCGTGGTAATTGTCAGGAGCAACACGGATGATCAGGTAAGTCTTATCTTTTTCTTCTTTATTCTTATTATTATTATGATTATTTTTTGTTGTTGTTCTTTCTACGCCTTCCGATGAAAAGATGGGGTGGTAGGGAGGGATGGGTACGATCGAGCGCAATTAAGGTGTTTTTCCGCGACTGAAAACTCGTTTTACCTTGGGAACGCGAAAGAAGAAGATGAGACGGAGAGAGAGAGAAAAGATTCGACGTCCTCGATGAATTCTGGTTTTACGAAAAGATAAAAGAGTATTTCGATTCGTTCGAGCGTTCTTGCTACTTTCCTTCTTATCCTTCTTCTTTCTTTCTCTTCTTTCTTTTTATTCTCTCGTCGTCGTCATCGTCGTCGTCGTCGTTGTCTTTGTCGTCTCCGATGACGAGCTAACTAATGTACTTTAGCAAGGCTCAACTCATCTCGCGTTTCTCGCTAACTTGGGAGGTCATTCTTCTGTTCATTGGCCATATTGTATTATATTATATTCGAGTCGTTAGTCGTAATTCATTATTTAATGAAATGAATAATAATGGAGAAGAAATATTATCCCTGCGGGATATACTACGAAAGATTATTATATATATACAATTACAATGTGTGGTCAACGAAATGCAATCAATTTGAATTGTTTGATGCCGGTGGTCCGATTGAAATTTTCTTCTCTTTTTTTCTTTGATATAACGCGACACAAAAAGAACTTTAAAATGATTGGTTGTAATAAATTTATTTATTTTATCTCAGAATTTTTACGATTAATAAACAATTTTGTAAAAGATAAATCTTGAATTCAGTCAGGTCTTGATTATCAGATATTTGGATTATTTGTTTTTTTCGAATCGATCAATTTTTGTCATCCGTTTGTAAATAACCGTTCTAATTTACTCGAGATTCACACTAGGGTGCACGATTTATTTGCCTCGTTTTTTTTTCCTACAATCACGCTGGTTAAATCAAGCTCTCCTCTGTTATATGTACACTATTTACAGTTCAGAATTATTACGTAAATTTACGAGAAATAGGATATTTATAAATAATAAATATTATATTTATTATTATAAAATATTATAAATATTATTATATATTAATTAATAATAAATTTTATTTTAGATTTTTAATTTTTTTTTCGAGAAAAATTTATCAGCAATAATTTTGGTATACATTTTATATTGAATAGCACATCCAGAATTATATAAAATAACGATTTATCATTTGAAATAAATTTATCGATATATTAAAATTTCGTAACGAAAATTGGCATAACTATTTTCCAATTTTTTTTAACTCCTTAATTTATATAATGTACGTATGTATAAGTACATAGAAAAGTAACATCACGGATGCATTTTTGTATAATCGGTTGTAAGTTTAACGACGGGACCCTTTTTTTTCTCATTCTTCTTGTTCTTTTTCTTTCAGTTGTACCTTAATTAACCTCGCTAGCGTACGTACATCTATACCTATATACTCATGTACACACATATATACATATATTCCTGAATGCAGAGGCGTACACGCGTTCACGGTTATATGCGCCGACACGAACGTAATTTATTTCCTTGATCAAAGCTGCTCCCCCTTTAAATCGTCGCAACCCTAATAGCTGCACGCACAGAATGGAATGAAGTGTACATCACATATACATATATATATATATCGTGCGGGAGGAATTGCGATCGTGCTCGGATGACTCGCTATTAAATTTTCCGCCACCCCTTTTAAAAGGAGAAAGAGGAGGAGTAGGGCAAGGAGGTGAAGGAGGAGTAGGAGAAGGAGGGGGGATAGGAATATGAGGTATGAGAGGGTTTATAAGAGAAGAGTCGTCCCGATTTCACGCTGACTTTCTTCATCCACTTGGTTCTTCCTTCGAACGAAAGATACCCAGCATCAGCTCTCTCTCTCTCTCTCTCTCTCTCTTTCTTAACTAAACCCTTTCGCTTTAAGGACGACGTAGATATATTTTTATAATACTACTGGCTTTTTTTACCTACTACGGGCCGCGACCTAGTTTTTTCCCTTTTTACGCAAACATTTTTCCTTTTTTTTTATTTTCTTTTCTCCCTCCTCCTCTCGTTTCCCTTCATCTTTTTCTTCTTCTTCTTCGTCTTTTCCTTTAGTTTCTTTTTCTTTTTCATCAGAATCCCTCGTAAAGAGATAAACCGGGAACGGTTTTCCAGCGTGAAAATGATTACGACTTATTTTTTTCTTTTTTTGCTATTTCGTTCGTTCCAGATTCCAAAGGGAGTTTTATAACTAAATATAAATATATATATATATATAAATGTGTGTGTTTGAATATGCAGTTTGTATATAAGCTTTCTTTTCGAGTAAACATAGCGAGTATGTATGTATGTGTGTATGAGAGTCCGTCGTCATTGTGTAGATAAGGAAAAGTGTGTTACGCGAAAATTGGATTTTTATTTCATTTAAGTAAGTGTTACGAGAAAAATGTTCAAAGTAAAAAATCTATAATGAAAATATATAATAATATAAACAATTTTTTTTTAATACTTTCATTTAGATATTTTTTATAAATTGAAGAATTAACACGTTCCGTGCCACGTGTACCACCGGTGGTACACGTTAAACTTGTTCTTCAAGCCACGTGTACCATCGGTGGTACATTTACTATTACACATATTTATTTAATGCGCTGAAAATATATGTTTATAAAAAATTTAATTCTGTAAAAAAGTATCCCTATTAAAATATTGATGCATTGTACAAAATGCAGTATAGAACAAAGCACATAAGTTTGTTTAATTGTTATATTTACAATAATTTATAATTACATGTAATGGGTTGATTTTGTTAAAGCAAAATTAAAGGACCTGAATTACAAGTTAGGTAAAAAGGGCTTGCCACGGAATGTGTTAAAAAGGTTGAAATAATATCGAACCTAATTTACTAATACTAATCGATGATGCGTTTTGATATCAAACATAGTAATCTCAATGTAATAGAAACCTGGTGGCGTGTGTGTTAGTTTGATGCAATGGGTTTTGATAACGCTGCGCAGGAGGAACGATAACGTATCATTGATCAGTATGCGTGTAGTAGTTACAATATAAAGCGATGTTACGGGAGATTTCATTTTTTTTGTTTATTTTTTTCTATTTTTTTTGAACCAAGTATCGCTGCCTACATTTCCTTTATATAGTGTGTATATCAATACCTTCATATATATATATATATATATATGTGTGTGTGTGTGTGTGTGTGTGTGTGTAGGCTTGTTGAAATACGGGACTCGTATAACGCTTCGGGTCTTTAAACTCTTTATCAAGGAATGATCTTCGCGGTTGCGTCGTAAATAACGTAATTGCATCCATAACAATAGCCAGGGTTCGGTCTATCTAACACATCGAAAAGGGAAGAAAGAGAAAAAAATGGAAAAGTCATGAAGAGAAAATGAAAAATAAAGTAAATGAGAAAGAGAGAGAAAGAGTACAATGTTCGTTTCACCAAGGCCCGCTAAGATAATAAAAAAATAGATGAATAGGTGTATATGTGTAAAAAGAGAGAGAGAGAGAGAGAGAGAGAGAGAGAGAGAGAGAGAGAGAATTTCTCGTTCCTAACTTAATTTTTTTTTCGCATAATTAAGAAAGCAGGTAGAATCGAGTTTCTCGTTAATGCGAGATCGCATAGCACTAATACTCAGTCTCTTATCTCTTCTCATGATTAATTACAACGGTTCTCTTAAGAGTTTTGAATGTTAAACATACTTTCCTTTTTCTATAGAATAAAGAATACACGCGATGAGTTGTTTCATGAATCGTTTTTTATACCTCAAGGCGATATTTCAAATATTTAATTGACTTCATCAAAATTTGTCTACTAAAATTAAAATAACTGTTATTGTATGTAAATAATCTAGAAATAAGATAAATGTAACTTAATTATAGATAGTCAAATATGTAGGTCTTCGAATAAAAATAAAAATAACGAAATAACATAAGATATATGTAAATATAATAAGCTTATCATAGAAACAGGTGTAAAATGTTTGGGAACCACTGTCGGTCGGTGGCTGACGTTCCGTGTGGGAAGCACATGGTACGGAGAAAGGTAGTAGTACACGGGTGGGAAGAAGGGAGGAAGGGAGGGTCTGGTTGGTTGATGGTGACGGCAATGGTCGGGTCAGTAATCGAGAATCCGTGGTATTTCACAAGAATAACGTGCCTCGATCGTTGATCCTCCCCCATATAAATCTTATGGATTTTCTTTAGGAAACGCGTGGGGATAACAACAACAACAATCGGCAAAGTAATAACAACAACAACAATAATCCAAGTAATAATCCCAACAATACGAGTAACAACAACGGGAACAACAGCAGCAGCAGCAATTTTATCAACGGCAACGGCAACAGTAATAACAGCAACAACGTTAGGTCGTTCACCTCGACGGAGGCACAAACGGAGGTGGCGCTTCAGAATGGGCCCGAGGTCCTCGAGGAGCTCGCAAGCGAGTCACGTGGCGCCCGTCGCCGGGAGAGGCGAATGCGGAGACAGCATCGTAGGGCCCTGAGGAGTTGTTCTCTCCCACCGACTTATCCTGGAGCCGCAAATGCGGCCGTAGCGGTCGGTGCATGCCCAGCGTCCGCGACCGCACCCGGAGTGCCTTTGGTGCCACCTACTAGGGGTTTCCTTCACCCTCCGCCACCTCATCTCGGACTCAGGGGACTCAGTTTGGGTTTACCCTTTCCTGTACCTACCAGCGTCTCGGCATTTGGCAGGTTAGTTTTCATATTTTTATTATTTCAATTTTTGTCAAATTGATCAATTGTTGATTTATATATCAAGTGAAAGATTGTAACAAGATAGAATATAGAATAAAGAGCAAAGATTTGGTTCCTCTCATTAAAGATCTGCACTCGTGCGCGTGACCATTTCCGAAAAGAGATTTCTTATCCAATCGTCGAGCCGTAAAGGAATGCGATCAAAAAGGGTCCCCTCGTATTTCCTACCAATGGTATCCAACCTACTACTACACGTGTCGTTCGAGTGAGATAGGATCGATAACTGGCGAGTTTCATCGTAAAATGTTTCCCCTTTTTCGTGGTCCCTTACAATACGACTTTTTTACGCGTATTTGGGCTATTAACGGTAGCCTTTCTCTAGTTGGGAATAGATTGTCAAGTTCATACTCGAGGGGTTCGAAAACGAGCAACCTGGTCTTCGTTCCATACATTTTTCAATCCTATTTTCTGTTCCTGTATTTTGTTCGTATCTCTTAACGTTGATTTTCATATTTAGGCCATGTTACTGAAACCGAGGGTATAATGATTTACCTAATGCAAAAAGAAAATGATGAGACATAATAAATGAGTTATTAGGTTACTTTTGTCTCATTTATTTATTTCTTTTATCTTTTTTTTTCAAATTTATTCAACCAACGGTAGAGTTAGAGTTAATTTCGCGACCACGGCGTCGAAGCGAACCTAATGACGATTATCTTCGGACGGACAAGAGAGCGGAAACGCATGAGAGATAATTGGATTATAGACGGGCAAATGCCCGTTGGGGGTCGAGTTTTAACGTGGAATACCACAGTGGTCCCGTGAAGTTTCAGCCGCAAGAAGGAAAGATAGAGAGAGAGAGAGAGAGAGAGAGAGAGAGAGAGAGAGAGAGAGAGAGAGAAATATGGTAGCGATGTTTAAAGGGGTGGAGGTAGAGGAAGGTAGCGTGTAACGCGCGTTCGTGTGCGTGTAATCCGTGCAACGGACCATGCACCGGCGAATGGCGTCAATTATCCGGCCGAGTAAAGTTCAACGCATGCCGAGAGATCGAGAACCGTTCGTTCGTTCGTTCGTTCTCTGAGTGAGCCAGGCGAAGTAGGGCCGAGCAACCAACTACTCTGGGGCTACGGGTACGGATACGGTACAAGGAGTCTCTGTCTCTCTCACGTAAATCCTACTATCCTGTTTCGCAATAAGTCCATTCGAGCTTTGTGTGATCTTTCAAAGTTAACCCATTCTCTTCCCATCCTATTACAACCTTCCTCCGATTTTCTACCCCACAAGTCGTCTCTTTGAATCGTTCTCATCATCTTCATACGAAATGTATTATATATTACATTTTTTTGGACAAATATTTCAACCATTTAATAGTATGTCTCTCATTGTTTATTGTTAGTTTCTTTTTTTTCGAGATGAATCGTTTAATGGTTCTTTCAAAACAGATTATATGTAAGAGATGCAACATTTTGTTGGATATAATTGACTATTAAAAATATGTGAAGGGTATATGTATTATATCGAGTTGCATGATTCATTATATATATATAGGACCAGCCTATTAAAGTAAGTAAGTAAGAAAGAAAGAAAGAAAGAAAGAGAGAGGAAGACCATTAAGACCGTATTACTGCCGATCTCGAAGAAAAACGATGCTTTATCTCATCCTTAGTAAACTGCTTCTTGGATCGTTTTGAAGAGTCGTAAGTTCGTTTTATAGATTTATCAGTAGCAAGGATCAGCATGTCCAGACTCAGATAATTCACTGGATGCAAAAAATTAAGACATGGTGTATATATAGGTAGCTTTTTTTTACTAAACGATTAAATCCAATTTGAAGAGAAGATTGATAGGATGTACTTGCAACAACAACAAAATGAATGAAAAGTGAAATAAGGAAGGAAGGAAGGAAGATGAATATGCGTGCTGATGCTGTTCTGTGTTATCCTTTTGAAGTATTTCTATGTTCAAAGTTGATACTATATTGTGTGTATGTGTGTGTGTGTGTATATAGTGTAATAACGGCTGGCCTCTTGATTCTTCCTTAGTCGTTGTCCGTTGTCGTCGTTTTAGCAGCAACATCCAGTGCACGAGTAGTTGAAAGAAGAGGAAAAGGAGTGTGTGTCAGTGGGTCAGTTCTCTGACGATCGCTTCTTGTCTTTCAGGGACGCAGTACCGAAGCAATGTTGCGGCTTAGGTTCCCCGCCTGTACGTTGGTCCATACTCGGTGTGGGAGTGGTGGGCCTTGTTTGTGCCGGTGCTGGTGCACTTTTGGGTGCACTCAGAGCTTCGGGACGAGATCATATTGCTGTGGCCCTTCTCATGATCGGTAAGTTAGTTCATGACTCTTTTATTTTTTAAGACGAATTCTAATTTCGATATTGCGTTTTATAACAAATTTTTAACTACAATAACATGTAATGAAAAAAATAATATTAGGTTGTTCGGTATGTTTTCGTGTCATATTTTTTAATTTCGAAATATTTTAATGAAATGTTTATTTTAATTTTAATTAGGTATATTTGACTCGAATGAATAAAATTAAAATGAAGATCTGGATTGTTTAGATTTATAAATCGATATACATTTTTTTTCAGACAATCTAATAATACCAAGAATCGTTCGAGATTAGAAAATGTTAGTAATACTGTTCGAAGAACCGTTTCGTTGGAATAACAATGGACACTGGGGTTATTATTTATAGTTCGTAGAAAACGTCGCACGGTATTATCCGACAATAGTTTTTTTTTTCTCTTTCTTTCCTCTTCTTGAAAAGAACAAAAGAACCGTTGACTATTATTGCTAATTACGAGGTCATTTTGATGAAAGCTTATTTCAAAGAGTTACGTTTTCGTGGTGAAAAAGAAAGAGAAGTAGAGGGAGGAGGAGGAAGTAAAAGAAAATAGAAAAATATATAAAAATACAGGTAAAAAGGTATCGTTCGAAGTTGAACGAAACGATCGGATTATACTGTTAACAGTTAACAGTTAAACCAGGGATACCTTCGAGCTTCGTTCGACCATTTCCAGGTCGTAATCTCTGACTAAGATGTTAGGTTTGCCTTTGGGGGAAATTTGCCCGCCCGTCCAACAATCTTACCAATTTAAGCGAATAAGTATGATCTTTCCTTCGACAATCTTATTTTATACGAGTATACTCAATCGATTTTATTACGACGATTGAGTTATCAGTGTTTATGTTTAACACCTTTAAGTTGCACGCTCGAATGCATTTCACACGAACTGGCAAGAAGATACGTTTTGTAGTAAATCCAGTTTAAACTCTCGAACATTCTTCTCATATTATATAAATATTTGTATAATTATATGAAAATGGATCGATTTACGTAATGAATAAATAATCTTTCGTGAAAGTTATTTAAATAAAAAAATTCGAATGTTCACGTTATAATTAAAAATAAATTTTCATATAATTTATATAATATAACATTTCTTATTTCTAAAATGTTCATCAAGAAAGATTTTTCATAGATAAAGAAAAAAAGGGATTAATAAAACGTCTAGGATTTAAAATAAAAACGAACGGTTATACCTTATTTAGTATCACAGTTGGTGTTGAGATTTGTAGAAAAACGTGTGGTTTGTCCCATAGAAAATCATGACAATCCATATAATTGCACTTTTATTCTCGGGATTTCTGTTGGTGTATGTTGATTGTTGAGTGTATTTGCTTCAAATGGAGAAACTTGTACGAACTTATGCAACGTTTTTACGCTCCTCCTTCTCCCGTTCCTGTCATTCCCGTGTCTAGCCTTGCGATAATTGAATATTTAAAATATATCTTAAAAGGAAAGAACTCTTGAGTGGATTTCAATTTCACTTGGCCCGACCGGTCTTCGTTGTCGTAGGTCTCTCAACGTTGAAAAAAATAAGAAAACAAGGAAAAAAAAGAAAATTAGCTAATACTAAATTACTGTATCGATGAATCATAGCGATAAAGATTAGTTGTTAAGAATCAATCTTTTATTACTTAGAATGCGTAACAGCCTTCGGCGGTTAGGATGTTGCGTAGTTGAGTTTAACAAAAAGATAACCTTGGCAAGAGAGCGAATTATAGGATGCGGATGCAAATGAAAGAGAGAAGACGCCTATGCGCTCGAAATAATCATAACGATAGATCGATTGAGCAAATCGTAATCGTTAGGGACGATCGTATCTCTCTCTCTTTCTCTTTCTACGTATAATAGTTATTCATTTAATTACATCATGCTCTTCTTGCAACGCTTTGCCACGTCTCCAAATATGGCATCGTAGAATACTGGTTAGAAACGTTTCATTCGTTAATTTGTTTCGTTTGGTTCTTTTGTCAGAAAAGGAACCGAAAGAAAATAAATCTAATTAAATTATATATTCAATACTTATATTTTAAAACGATTAACTTGTCAAATATTTTACTAGTTTAAATATCACGGTATAGGATTTGATCGATATGATTTAATTTTTTATATTAAAGTGAAAATTCTTTAGAATGGGTGTGATTTAAAAAAAATGAAACGCGGTGATGTTTTTTTTATTATATCACTATATAAGAACAATTTTATTATATATAATAATAATAATAATAATAATAATAATAATAATAATGTATAATATTATTTGAATAATTTTTTCTAAACGTTTGTTTAAGGTGGTATATACCTTTAGAGGCTCGAAAAAACGCTTTTTTAACGATATTTTTTTGGAAAACTGGCTATATATTTCTTGTCGAATAATCTTGAGTTCAAAATATACATGTTTGAAGATAATACAGTAATTTTTTTATGTAAAAATATTGAGACACAAGCGAGTTATAACCAATCTGCGTGATGTCCAAAAAAAAAAAGGTGGTTTGCGGTGAGTAAAGAATCTCATTACTGGATCATTTGAAATAAACAAAATCAATGCAATTAATTAATATAGATGTGTCTTAACAGATTGAACGATCGACTTTTCTAAAATATTCATTTTTTACAAAATGGCGCACTTTTGAACATAAAGTTCCTATTTTTCACAAAAAAAGTCTATTTATCGGCTTAAAAAAAAACATATATTAATTAAAAATACAAAACCGATCGTTCAATCTGTTCTCTATTATACTTTTAATAACTGATTAAAATTTGAAAGCAATCGGTTAATCCGTTCGTGAGATTTCTTACTCACCGACTTTGAAAACGTAGTTTCGAGAAAAACGAGTTTAAATAGGAGATAAAATAAAGAAAGGACTACATATTATTTCTTTCGTCTACAATATCTCCATAAATAAAGGTCACATCTTTATGAAATTTTAACAGAATACTTTCGAAATGATATACTTTTAGAAAATGCAATAAAAAATAATTCGATTTTTTTTTTTCAAAATGTATATACGCCCTTAAAAGAGTTTATCAATTTGACAATTTAGGATGGTTCATATATGCATTGATGAGAGATAATAGTTGAGAAATTATGTCGAGGCCGAAAGAAATTGAAGATACTCAAGAATTATTCTACTAGGGAAAAACCATTTCATTTTTATTTCTCTCTCTCTCTTTTTCTTTTCGCTTACTGCAAATTCGATTTATGCAAATGCAAAAATGTCCTTCGTCCTTGTCTCTCTTGGAACTATGGCAAAAAGTAGAATCTCGTAAGAGACGTAAGATCATGAAATATGCAGGATGCCATTCCTCTTGAAATTTAAATCGTTCCTTGCTGCTCCCACGCTCGCTTGGCATTTCATCATATAATATTTGTAGAAAAAAAAAAAAAAAAATAAAATAAAGAAAAAATTCATTGTAAGAAAAATTTACTAACGATTAATTTATTATTATTTATTCCTTTTTAATCGACGATATGTGATATTCTTTTTATATAATAATTAATTTCGATATTATACTATTTTTATTTAATTACAATATTATATATATATTGTAATAATTATATATTATATTATATATATACGTAATGGAAAATATTAATGATTTTATGTACGGGGTAATTTTATTTATCCCTTTTTTAATTAATTACAATATTATATATTATTACTATATGTAATATTATATATAATTATATTTATATATAATATTTATGTAATAATTTTATATATATTTATTATTTAATTACAATATTACATAATTTTATACATAATATATAAAATATAATATATTTTTTAATAAATTAATAAATTTAATAAATAAATAAATATATATATATATAAAATAAAATAATAAGTAATAAATATACTATAATTTAATAAATTATAATATATTTTATATAATGTATAATTATATATAATATATAAAATATATACGTAATGGATTTTATTATATTTGGGGCATTCCACGCCAAATCGGACGGTTTTAAACATTTTTATTTTTGATTTCCGCCATTTTTTGATATCTTTTAGTACCCATCGAAAAACCCTTCCTCCTAAATTTTGGCATTTTTTTGATCATCCGTTCTGAAGTATCGAATTTTCAAAAAAAAAAAAGACAGCTCTTTCAGTGGTTTTTAGTCCGTAACTTTTTTAAAACTCATCCAAATGAAAATTACCATTCTACATAAAAGTTTTGTTTTTCAATTTACTTTTCGAAAAAAATTCAAAAAAATTATTTAAAGTGTCCTAATACGTAATTTTCGATTTTTAAACTTTAAATTGTATTTCTTAAAGTGAGTGCATATTTTGATTTTCTTCAAAAATTTTTACAGCAACCTACTACTAATTCCACAACTTTTTGGGCCGGTCTGGTCGTGGGCCTTCGATAACTACTATTTTTTTCCGATTTTTGAAAATTAAAAAAAAATTTTTTTTTTTTTTAATTTTGTCATTTACTTCTCTCTTTTAATGTATTTTGAATCACTTTATATATTTTTTTTTATTATAACAAGCGTAGGAAGGTCTTAATTACTGACTTAGATTAATAATTAACAAAAATCACGAAAATAAATCAAGACTTTTCTTATTTTTAATTTTTTTGAATTTTTTTTTCGAAAAGTACATTGAAAAACAAAACTTTTATGTAGAATGGTAATTTTCATTTGGATGAGTTTTAAAAAAGTTATGGGCTAAAAACCACTGAAAGAGCTGTTATTTTTTGAAAATTCGATACTTTGGAACGGATGATCAAAAAAATGCCAAAATTTAGGAGGAAGGGTTTTTCGATGGGTACTAAAAGATATCAAAAAATGGCGGAAATTAAAAAAATAAAAATTTTTAAAACCGTCCGATTTGTCGTGGAATGCCCCATTTATATATACGTAATAGAAAATATTAATTATTTTATTTACTAATCATTTCAATATTATCCCTTTTTTACTTTTCTTTTCTTTTTATCTTTCTTTTACTTATCTCAATTCTTTTATTGTTAAATTCAAACTTTCCCTATAGTTTATATCGAACGATAAAACGAAACATTAGGAGATGTATTAATTCGCAAGGACGATTGTAAGGCCCCTAGACGTTACCAAATATAACGGAACTTCTCGAACGCTTTTAGAATTCGATAAATGTAATACGAATGTTACCGGATAACAACACAACACATCGCGTAAATGCACCGATGGTTTTACAAAGAACTTACGTAGTCACTTCGGCAGCCATTATTTAACATTCCGAACAAGTTTCGTTTCATCGAATCCTATCTTTGTCCTTTCTTTCTTTTTTTCTTTTATTACTGGCCTCCAATCTACGACACAATTTATTTTTCTTGCGTAATTAAATGATGAAATTAATTCGTAATCTAAACAAAAAAAAAAGAAAACAAACACCGTGTGACATTTTGTAATTGGGTGGTAGGGGAAGGGAGGAGAAGGTGAATAGAAATACCGTGTGAAAAAAAAGAACTTATCTATTTTTCTTGTATTATTTTTCTTCTTGGTCGTTTGTACATATATAAATGTAAATAATGTAATATACTTGTTGAAAATGTAAAAAAAAAATTATTTGAACAATCGTAGGAAGAAGAATAAGAATAACAAGATAAAAATAAAGATAAAGATATAAAATGTATAAACTTACACGAGATGTAGTTGAATCAAGAAGATGCACAAAGAAGAAGAAGAAGAAGAAGAAAAACAATACAAAAAAAAAAATCAGTAGAACTAGCCTTTAACTCGGGCTTCTTCGTGGTGGCTTTTGCTCGAGGGCTGGGAAAGAGGAAGAGAAGGGAGGGCTGGTGGTGAAAGGGGGGAGGGAAGGTAGGAGGGACGAGAGAAGTGGCTGATCGGAAACCTGTTTTTCGTTCGCGAGCATTCACGAGACGACGACTCCTTTGCGTCCGTTTCTTCTTCTTATTCTTCGTCTTCTTTCGCACGAATTAACGAAAGAGTAGGAAAACTTTTCCATAAATGTAGCCGGTGGTTAGATAAAAGCGTAAAGAAAGAGAGATAGAAAAAGAGAGAATGAGGTGGAGAGGTAAAGGGGGAGGGAAGTGTAACAAATGGGTCAATGATAGTTTATCTGATATAACGTTTTATTTATTTGCTACAATCAATTTTGTTTGTTTTATAAATTTTTTCTTTATTGCATAGAGAGTTAGGATTAAAAATACGATATATAAAGAAAATGTGTTATTTAAAAATGAAGGATTAAAAAAAAAGGATTAGATAGGATACTTGTTTGTTTTCTAAATTTAAAGGTTTTATTATAGTTTTATTATATAGTTATATTATAGTTATTGTTAATATATTATAATTATTAATATAATATATAATATAATTTATATATTATATACTATATTATATTATAAATTAATATTTTAATATTATATAATATAAATTAATACAATAATATTATATACAATATTATAATTAATATAATATTTTTAATATAACATTATTATTATAATATTATAATTATATATATATATATATATATTAATAAAATATATAATATAATTTAAATATATTATATATTATATTTATATCATATAGTGTTATAGTATATTATAGTATATTGTTAGTTTTATAAAAATAAGAACCTTGTTTGTTTTATAAATTTATTCTTTAGTGTACAGAGTTATGATATATAAAGAAAATGTATTATTTTAAAATTAAGGAATAAAAATATAAAAAGGATTTGGGTAAAGGATTTGATAATACTGCAAGAAAATGGATTTACAAAAATTATTCTTTCGATATTACATTTATTCATTATACATTAATATAATATTACATTTTCATGATTACATTTAATTTTTGTTAAATTATTGTTGATAATTAGGAAATTAGAGATTATACGAAAAAATGATAATTAAAAATTCATGTTACAATAACAATAATAATAATAATATAATAAAGATCGTCGTAGTTCACACGATAGAGTGGGAAATAGATAAGAAATAGATAATAAGAAAGATAAAAATAGTCCAGTGTGGTGACGAAGAATAAAACAGTATTTATCTTTATATTCACTCATTCACTCATTCACTCACATACATCAGTCACTCAAATACTTACTTTAAATACGAATGCACGAGCTTGTAAGGAAAAAAGGAGGAGGGGGGATATGGGGGGGGGGAAAGGGAAGGCAGAGCAAGCACTCGCAACAGTTACTTTCTAAACGTGGGCATGTAACCTGCGACCCGTTCAGAATGCCTCTCTCACAATGGGGGAGAACGTTCTAACCTACAGAGATCGATGTCGTACACCGCCTACACACGCGAGCGCACAAGACAGCCACCGTGAGAGATCACTCGAGTAAGACAAAGATAATCGAGATTAGGTTTACATTAGACTAAGAAGAAGAAGAAGACTATGACGATGACGACAAGTAGTAGAACTTTATCTTCTTAATTAATTAATGGAATCTTTCCAATTTTCGATTTCTCTCAGGTATCCACGTAATACTAATATTGTATGATTAATTATAATAAATTATAACAGTTTGTATATAGAATAATGATTGATCATAAGTAGTATAGGTGTGAATTTTTATTGGGATATTATTTTAAATTCTGATGATACATCGATAGTATGTTATAGATAACAACTTAATATATTGATTATTTGATGAAAAAAAATCAGGTTTTTAATGGATATATATTTAATATTATAAATTTTTTTGTAAGTATTTTAAATATATATTTAAATATATAATATTATATTTAAATTAATATTAAATATAATATAATGTTATATTTAAATTATAAATATATAATATATATATATATAAAAACTTATAATATTTAATATTAATATATTTAAAATATTGAAAAT